GGGGAGGGGTCGGTGAAAAGTTGACAAAAGCTGACATTGGGGGGGAGTCCTTACCAAGTTAACGTCAACCATGATGCTCTAAAAGTGGGGAAAAATAAGAAAAGAAGAAATAAAAAATATGATAGACCACATTTTCTAAGCCTAAAATTAACAAAGTTAATTACTTTGATTGGTATTAAATAATTTGACAGTTCATGTATTTCTTTGTTGCATTCTTTAATAAACAATAGTTTTTTGTGTGTTTTTAAAAAATAATTTTAAATAAAGATCAAAGGTTGAAATATAAATGGGTCCTCGGAAGGATGACAGAAGATGACAAGGGGGGGGGGGGGGGGGGGGGGGGATTATTTTGACCAAATTTTAGCTGACGTCATTTGTGAACAGTCCTTTAATGGCCTCGCAGAGGCTGCCGGCCAAAGTAGCGAGGACTGATGAAGAAGAATTCGTCATGTAGTCATGTAGATCTAGTTTCTACTCGCCAAAAGACAGGAGTTCCCTCTCCGGAAATCCAACTTACTTCTGTTACGTGCCAGGCAAAGAGTCTGAGAGTCTGACCGCTGGTCTCTGTCTGCTTCTATAGAGTGAAACAACGCAGGGTCTGGTGGTAGTCTGGTGGTAGTCCTTGGTCATGTCAGGTCAGGGAGAGGAGTAGATTTCTTATTGTCGTCGGGACAGGCCTTGTTTTGTTTTGTGCTTGTTTTTTGTTTTTTTGTTGTTGTTTTTTTGTCTTTTCTTTCTTTAAAAAAAAATTTTTTTTTCCTTTTTCTTTCTTTCTTTCTTTTTTTTAATTTTCTTTGGGGGGGGGGTGGTTTCGGTTTTTTTGTTACATCCTTACCAGCCAGGGCCTACCCGAGTAGTGCTGGATACGTCCAAGAGATAGTTTTAGTAAGAGTTTTACGGCACTTGCAACACAATAAGGTCGTATATACATGTAAGTACCGAATGTTAGATGTGTTGCAAGAGAGTAAGAAACACAAGATAATGCATGTACAAAGAAGAAGGGGAGATCAGGACGATAGCTATTTGATATGAAAGGAGAAGCAGACCACACCAGAGCACCCGCCAACCACCCACCTGCTGTCCTTTTTCATGACAGGTCAAGGAGATGAGGAGATTTCTTATTGGCGTCGGGGCTGGTCTTGGTTTGTTCGTTTTTGTTGGGGGGTTTTTCGGTTCCGAGGCGTTGACTTTATCAAAATTCCACTGTAATGTGTTTTCGTAAGGCTCTTTTGTCATTGACATGAGTCTGAATTTTGTCCTTATTTGTAAGAAAAAGTGTGGGATAAAAAAAAGAAAAAAATATATTTTGCATGAACGATTTACTCTTATTTTTTAGTGAATGTAGAAATGCATATATTATTATGTGCACGTACATAAATGTGTGTATGGATTTTTTCATGAATATTATGTGAAGTGCATAGAACAATGATTGTAACGCGGATTAGCTTGATATAAATTAATGACACTTTATTATTATTAGCGAACAATAAAATAATGATAATAAATAATAATAATAATATAATGTGTGGGGGGGGTCATTTTAACGCAGACAGACGAACGTGTGTACGAGTGCGCGTGCGTTTGTGAGAACGCGCGTGTACATTTCAAGGTACGTAACTGATGAAATACAAAGTTACCTCTCATGTATGTTTGAATTAGCTCCCTTTTCCTACAGCAGACGGAAACGAAATTAATTAATACATGCACATGCATGCAGCGATCTTCATTTTCAATCCAAGGTTACAAATGCTCAAACTCTAATCCAAACTCTTTTGATGAGGCTAGGCCTATAGAATTTGCCACGAAGAACATGGCATCCATAAAGTGATCCCTCAGAG